AGATCTGCCTCGGCACCAATCTCGACTAGAATCTCGGATGTGAGGCTGGGTGCTGGGTCGCCGAATGCTTCCCGAGAACCTTCCCTTGCCCGCGAACGGTCGCCGCTGTTCCGCCAACAGCCTCACTCGAGGAAGAGGCGCATCTCGACCACGTCCCGTGTGGGCGGTAAGATTGTGCAGGACCAGGAGCCGCAGGTGCAGAGGCAACATCAAGTGCATGCGGGGGATAACGTGTGGATGTGGTTCCGCTTCTTTATGGCCATCGTGACGCTCATCACGGTCAACAAGGATACGTGCGATAGCATGTATAATGAGAAGGAGGACATTTACCGCATGGAGGAGGTGGAGTGTGTTGGCGGGGGCGCGGGCAGTAGCGGGGAGGATGATATGGAGAGCGATGATAATTATATGGGCGGAGAGTTGTATGAGGATGAAGAGACTTGTGGCGTGAGGGTCGAGAGGTGGAGGAGGCAGCAGCTGGTGGTGTAGTTGGGGCCTCACTTCTTGTGCTTTTTCTCCTTTTTTTTTTTTTTTTTCTTTTTTTCTCTTTTTCTTTTTTGTTTTCGTTTTGACGCTCTGAGGTTTTTTGGTGGCGAAGGCCAGTGGGGGTTTGTGAATGGTGGACCCGATCGATATTAACACACCTTTCATCTTTTCTTTTGTTTTATTTTTTTGGCTTTTTTTATCTTCCTTCAAACTATTTATAATTGATCCCTTTGGATTGTTTGCGGCGCGGCTAACTAACTAACTAACTAACTAACATCTTTCCTTTTTCTTTTTTATATATCCTCTTTTTTCTCTCTCTCTCTCTCCCTCTCTTTCTCTTTCTTATTTTTTGGTTGTAGGGCACTATACATTTTTCTTTTTTCTTTTTTCTCTTCTTTTCTCGTTGCAATTGTGCTGGGTTTTCCTTATATTTTTTGTTTTGGAGTACATACAAACGCGGTGGAAAGCGGGGCGGATCGAAGCCCCAAGGAAGGAAGGAATGAAAGTCGTAGACTTTTTTTTGGCAATATTGGTGGGGGGCCGGGATTTCATATTTTTATATTATTGGGTGGATCCGCAATATATATACCTATAGCTAGGTATATAGTGGGACCCTTAAGCTTACTTCAACACCTTTTCCCTTTTTTTCTGTTTAGCAATAGCTATATATATGGAGAGTTATGAGCAGATCTAGCTACCTACCTACCTAAGTTACTTATTCAAAACACAACCACAACCACAACCACACCCATAAATCCAAATATTTCAGATGGGCGCGGGGGGGGGGGGGTGCATCATCCGGATCCTACTTAACATAGGAACGCATATATGCCACCTCTCTATATTAAAATAAAAATAAAAAACATACGCATAATTCGCGATTCGGGAAACCTTTTGGTGTGACTGTAATGTAAGTGATATGTAATGTGATGTGTCTGGCGATGTCCTCAACTGCAAGTTGGGCCCGCTTCTTTGAAGGTTCTTTCTTTCTCTTCCTTCATACGTTATAGTATGTACAGTACTCCCTCTATATATCGATATCTGTAAGATCAGCTACAATTGCAGTGCATTTGCAATTAGGTCGTACGTACTTATGTAGGTAGGAGGTACATTACGTTTTTTCAGCACCATTCACGGCTCCGGGGGAACTCAATATTTTGAAACCATTTGAAATGGGTGGGTGGATAAAGCGAGTCAGATCTCCTAAAGAAGACATGTACATGAAGAAGCAGGACCATCGACAAAAAACCAATGATCATGATGATGATGATGATCAAAAATTTACTGGATCTGGATATAGTAAGTACGTACGTACGTAGGCTTTAGAAGGTACATAGGTATTTTGACATTATAAAATACATTATAATTACAATACGGAGTACATTTCATAAGAAAATCGATCCAAAACATTAACCACACGTCGTGAGATTAGATTAGATTAGATTAGATAGGTATAATATATCATGATCATGATCCATCGATCATCGACATGAACGTTACTCCAATTGCAAATCCGATTTAAAAGAAATTCAGATATAAAAAATAAAAAAATAAAAAAATAAAAAAAAATAAAAGAAACGAACGAGGGGACTTGGGATATATATACGAGAGAGAAAAGACGTTCATGACTGGGACCAACCATCCCCTCATCCATCCCCAAAAGAAAAGAAAAGAAAAAAAAGAAGCAAAAAAAACTGCTCTGGTGCAGAGAAAAACATAGACACACACACACATACACACTCCTACTCCCAAATCTTAACCCCCACTCCTTCCCACTACTCCTCCCCATCCTCATCAACCGCACACGTATACGCCCCAAAGAACGCCGCATAGCTCTCCATATGCGCCACATGCGCCCTCCTCGCCTCCTTCTTGACGAACCACTGTAGCGCCGAGCCTCCCCCCCCCGCACCCGCGCTCCCAACTCGCACAAACAGGTCCTCCGTGATGGTTAGTGTCCATGTTGGGAGGATGTGGGCGTGTTTTGGGTTTTGTGGTGCTGTTGTTGGTGGTTGTGTTGTTGTAGCGGGAGGGGAAGTGGTGGTGGTGGTGGTAGAACTACTACTAACTAACCTAACCTGCCGCAGCTTCCACACCGAAATCTCTGGCGCAAGCGGGGACGTGGCGGTGGACGTGTAGAGTGCGTAGGTGAGCCATTCCTGGTCTTTTTGTGGTGGTGGTGGTGGTGGTGGTGGTGGTGATTTCGCTTTCGTCACCGCGGATGATGGAATTGGAGATGGAGGGGAAATTGGCGAATAAGTCGTCCACACGCCCCGAATCCTCACCACCGTTGGTTTTATCCTTAGGAGGCTCGTGAGGAGCGGGAGCGGGACGTGTTCTTCGAAGGAGAAGTGGGTTGTTGTGAGTGCGGATTTGTGGTGGTGGTGGTGTTCTTCTGAAGAGGAGGAGGAGGAGGGGTCGTCGCCATCGTTGGTTGTGTTTGTGTTTGTGTTTGTGGGTTTACTACCACAACCACTACCGCCACGATCGATAGAGTCGAGAGAGCGGAGACTCGAGCTTCCGTTGATCGGTGTCCCTGCTGCGGCTGCGGTTGTGGTGGGGGGGCTAGAGATTGAAGGACTAGAGATGATGACGGGTGTGGTTGGCACCGTGATCCTAAAGTCCCTACATAGCGCGCTGAGAGATGTTATTGTCGGGAGATGGGTTGGGGAGAGGAATAAGGTTGTTGCTTTTTGGTAGGTTGTTGTTGCGAGGTGGTGGTTTTCGGTGAGCGTGCGTTTTAGGGAGGTTCGTGTTGTGGTCGAGGAGGAGGAGGATGAGGAGGTGCTGCTGCTGCTTGTGTGGGTGTGGGGTGAAGTAGTAGTGGTGGTGGTAGTAGGAGTGGGAGTAGGGCGAGATTGAGGTTGTGGAGTGAGCGGGATCGGGATCGGGATGGGGAGTGTGATTGTGTGCGAGGAGACTTTGATGTAGGATTTTGGTGGGGGGAGGGGGAGAGTGGGGGGTGTATGAGGGTCCTGTGGATGTGGAGATGCCGATGAGGTTGATATTGATGATGATGGGAGGAGAGTCATTTTGTCCCTGTTCTGTTTGTCCTAATTGTTGTGTTTGTATAATTATGCGATTGACAGAACAGAAAAGTCGTGTTTGTGCCTGTGTTTGGATGTATCTGCCGCCGCGGATTGATATTCACGCGAGTTGGTGTCTGTGTCGGTGTCGATGTCCGCGTTCGATATCGATGTTGCTGATCTTTGTCTTGGGCCTGAGATATAATATCCTTTTCCCTTTCCACCTCCACCTCCTTCGCGCGGAATAAATAAAAAAAAAAAAAAAGAATGTGGTCGGAAATTCAAAATTCAAAATTCAATTTCCCAGTTCTAGAGAGCTTAAAGCTTAAATTTTGACTTCCGAAAAGGGCGTAAGCGGGTGGTGCTGGCTTAGACGCCTTTTAACTACCAGTTCGGGTTCGGTTCGGCAGCCTCTGTATTCAAGGGATAGATAGATGGTTTATGTCGACGTCCTACAGCTATGGCGAGAAAAACTACCTAGGCGATCAGCATATATTCGAAGTGATGTATTCAACCACTTCAAGAGAGCTAGCTCCAGGAGGTAACATATATCGGTATCTTAAGAATCCCGTATCCGATAACCCTGGGGAAACATCAACAACATACCTCCAAGTCTCAAGGTCGGTTATCTATCCCAAATCCCACGACAAAACGGACGGATGCAAAATAGTCGAATTCGAATTCGAGTAACCACGTATTGAAATTCGTAGCTAGTACGGGAGAACGTTCAAAGAATGAAAGGAATAGCAGGTAGATATGTGAAGTGAAGAGCCGTCTTGTACCACAACAACAATCCCAATCACAACGTGTAGACGTGCACCGAAACCTTCTTTCCTCAACACACACCATATGCATCCCAGACCCGGGTCAAAAATACCAAGCTAGTCAGTCACACAACCACGTCCCTCCCCTCACGCATCCACATCCACATCAACCATCAACATCAATGCATCATTACTTTTGAGGCCATACCTCCCTCCTTCCTTCCTCCACGCTCCCAACCCAACCCCCCAAAATATCTACTCTAGAGTAGTGAGACAGGGGATACGTAACGGCACTGTTTCATCCACCTCCCATCCCCATCCCCATCTCTTGATCCAAGCACCTTATGTATGTATTCTCAAGCGCATACATACATGTTCTAGGTATATCGTGGTGACTTTTATTTACCCAAGTTATAATTAGTGGCCATATAACTACTTAATCTATAATCAATCAATCAACCCCCCGATCTTTTATTTCCCTTAAGCTTTTTCATGCCAATAATTAGGAACATCCGAGTCTCTCTCTCTTTTGGAGTCTGTCTGGCTGGGCACGATCGAGAACACTCACTCAACCCCTACCGTACTCTGGTCTCCTTCCATCTCCCCCACCAACCGGTACCTTAGGTATCTTAACAAGTACACACACACACCCAACTCCGCTATCATCCCCGCCACAAAAAAGCCTTCCTTCAAAGAAAAATAATAAACTACAACAAAAAGATAGTGAATGGAGTGGGATTCGAACCCACGCGATTTCTCACTGCGACCTGAACACAGCGCCTTAACCACTCGGCCATCCATCCTGTTTTTGATATATTTCTATCCTCAATGGCACCTATGATTGAAACTACACACTCATACACTCCCAACATCACACAATATCCTATACTCCTCGTGATCGTGATTCAGTTTCCTGTGGATTACAGCTTTCACCCAATTGAAACTGGACATGGCGCCAGCACGATTTCAGGTATCAGCATAAACGTTGACGTTATAGAATGTAGGTACCAGCTACGTATACATCAAGTATCTAAACACGTTTGCGTGGAAATGCTGTGGTACGAGACCTGTAAATGCTCAAGATGCTGAAAGTTTCACATACTGGTATACGTACTCAAACACACAGCTATTCAAGCAATTGCAAAAACAAGAAGTAATTGTGTAGGTATCTCCTCGATCTACATCAAGATCCATCCAAGCCTCGTGCTACAGAATCTCATGACCATGAGATCTAGATCTGATCAAAGGCATGCGCAAGTAATTTATACAATTAAATTGATACTTGATAAAAATCACAAAAAAGATCAAGAACAGATAAGTAAGTAAGTGGCATTAATTCAAGAACAATTATAAACACGCCTATACAAAAGGATAAACATAGAAAAAACGATAGGGGTAAATTTTAAAAAAATCAAAAAAGAAGAATAAGGAGCCCAAAAAGCGACTGTTGGAGATATCATAAAAGGAAAGAGAATAACAAGATAGACACTTACAAAATCCACTTTCGACTCAAAAGGGATAGAAAAGAAAAGAAAAGAATAAAAAAAAATGTACCTTAATCAAAGAAGAAGAGAACGGAACGAGACACCGCTGATTATGTCAAAATTAAAAAAACAAAAACAAAAACAAGAACAAAAAGTGATGCACACATTTTCAGGGAAAAACAAAAAAGCTGCATGCAGTACAATCCCACAAAAAAGATTTGATATAGCGGAAAAACCCTCTGCCACAAGAGATATAAAAGACTCATCCGTTATAAATAAAATTTCTTGAAAAAAAAACCTTATTCCGCCCTTCCTACGCGCGCATCTCATGGTCAACATCCCATCCCAATTCCATGCCCAAATGTACATAAAATCCCCTCTTTTGTCTATGCAACCTCAACAGCCCCACCAGGTCCCTGGTCTGGCTTCTTCCGTCTACCTAACAAAGTCGCATTATCCAAAGTCAATTCGAACGGACCGTTCTTCTTCCTGGTCTTCTGCACAGCAGACTCGACCTTCCTGTGCTGCTCCATCCGCAATTGCCTCTGCTCAACATATCGTTGCTGGGCGGTCGAAGCATTGGGGTTTGGCGCCAGGTTCGTCTTCTTCAGAGAGTCGGCAACGTCATCTGCAGTACGGTTCTGCTTAGGGGGCTTGTGGTTGCGCTCATCCATCTCGGTGTCGGTATCCATCTCGTCCTCCTCATCCTCGTCCATGGCGTTGAGTGTTTCTCCACGGTATCCTTGCTTCCACTTCTTGCGGCGCTTGTTCTCCTCCTCAAGACGATGGACGGCGTAGCCAACGTCAAACACCTCACGCAAACTGACAGCGCCAGGAGAACGGAAGTCCATTCTCTTTGTGCCACCCATTCCACCGGGAGTGAAATCCTGCTCGAACGCCATGGCGCCTGGAGTCTTGAGCCTCTGGACAGCGGCTGGGGTGGCCATTGGTGGTGCATCCGATGCAGGTTCTGTGCGTTCTCCCGAATTCTTGATCCAAGGATGATCCAAAAACTGCTGAATGGTGTATCGCTGGTGAGGGTCGACAGTCAAGAGATGACTGACAAGATCTTGGGCAGACTTTGAAATGTCATCCCACCATGGTGACAAAAAGGTGTATTGTCCTCTTGCCACCTTCTCGGTAAGTACTGAGATGCTTTCATCATAAAATGGAGGGAAACCACAGAGAAGAGTATACAGCACGCAGCCCAAGGCCCACATGTCAACACTCTTACTGTACTTCTCATCCTTGACAATCTCTGGCGCGGTGTATCCCACAGTTCCACAGGGGGTCATTGTTTGTGTTTCCCAAACAACCTTGGAAAGGCCAAAATCGGCAATTTTTATCTTTCCGATACCACCAGCTCCGACACCAGGAATAAACTCGCCTTCCTCTTCCTTATCCTCATCGCCTGGCAATTTTGGATGTGGGTTCTTCGATGGCATAAACGGAATCGGTTCAAACAACAAATTCTCTGGTTTGATGTCACTAATTGTAAAATTAGGATTCGTCCCAAGCTCAAACAAAATGGGGGGTGGGGGGTTCAAGGAACATACCGATGAACAACACCTTTCTCTTCATGCAGGTATTTGAGGGCATCTGCAACTTGTGTGATGACATGTCTCGACAAATCTTCCGAAAAGTATGTCAGGCGGACAATTTGGTGAAAAAGTTCGCCACCGGCCAGTAATTCCAGAATGAGGTAGTAGTACGACCTGGACTCTGAAAACGAAATCAACCTCACAATGTTGGGGTGATCAAGGTTGGTCATGATCTGTACCTCCTTGAGGATATTTGCTCGCTACACCCAGATGGTTCAGTTAGCATAACAGTCCGGAAGTTCCTATAATCTGCTTCAAGAACAAAAAAAACACAAAAACATCTAACCATCCACCAATCATATAGTTGCTGAAACCTAGATGGTGGGTGGTGTGAAATATTGACATAGATACAGCTTTCTTTTGTGTCGAATATACAGCTTTCTTTTGTGTCGAAGTTGCCCCTTATTTCAAAATACCGCACTATTCAACTAACCTCGACTGTTTTTGGCAATTTTTTGAGACTCGGGTGAAGATGTTGGTCCTGTTATCTCCCAGAGGCCGGACGCGCTTGACGTTAAACTATGCCAAAACCAGCAACTGAAAAACACGGACAATGTTTGGAATATAACATAATGAAATCTGGGAATAGAACTGAAATAACATGAATAATTCCGACAAAAAGTTTTCTGCCCAGTGCAATGACAATAAGAAAGAAAAGATGTTTTATCACTTACCTGGTTTGAGTTCAACTCGTATTTTCGGACCACCTTGATGGCCACCTCTCCATGCTCTCCTGTGTTATCCCTGGCTCTATAGACATTGCTGAATGCTCCGTCACCCATCTTTTCCAAGAGGGTGAATCTCTCCAGGCCTGGGTAGTTTGGCAGTTTTCCCTTGGATGCCTTTTCCTCTGCAACGATGCGGGCAAGCACAGAGTCGTCAATCTTCCCTGTGCCTTGCTTAGCACCTGTGATACCACCAGCACTGACGCCTATGCCATGTCCTCCAGGGATAACATCAGACTCGTCGTCAAGCTTTTGGTGAGTGCCGGCAGCATGTGCCATCTTTCCTTCGGCCTGTGCAACAATATTTTTGTGGTCTGCTCCCTCTGCAACGGTGTAGTCGTCTACCCGTCGATGGGCTTTGGGGGCGTTTATGGTGCCGATGAGAGGATCCGAATGTGCATTGCGGGACTTGGTGGCAGGATCGTTATGTCTAGCCTGTTTTCCATGCCGTAGCAAATTCTTGATGTTCTGGAAGGTTTCCATCATGTGTATGTTAGTGAAGAGGCCCCCTGGGTGTGTGTTTCCTTTGACTTGAGGTTGTGGAAGACTGTTCTGTGAAGTGTTTACAGAATTGAAGGGGCAGTGGGCATGTGCGGGATGTTGAATACAATGAAGGTTAAGCTCAGCTAAGGCTGATGGTGGGGCGGGTGAGGGGAAGGTATAAGTACTAGGAGCAAGCGAGTGAGTGTGGAGGACGTTGGTAAACGGGCATCTTGCGGGGCAGGAGATTGCTAATCGGGGTTTGGGGGGGGTGAGATGGATGTTGGTACATGAAGTTCCAAGCAAAGCAGGGAAGCCTCAATCCACTCAGAGCCTACCAAACTACCAAGAAGTGGATTAAGATGTAGAGTAGGCATCTGTGAGCTTTGCAGTACCAGGCGCAACAGTGCTGATGCTGCTCGCCCCACTTCATCCTGAATACATGCGTCGGAGAAGTAGGACGAGATGTGTTCGCTACCGTATGACGGCAGCACACATGCAGGCATTGGATATGCTTATACTCCAGGTGTGGAGGGGCGGAGGGAGGGGTGGTGGTGGGGGGTTGGGATTGCAAAGAGACAAGGTATCCGCATGCTAGGAGACCACATGCTGTATCGCAGTCGCACGCAGAGCAAAAAGAAGGGAAATGGACGCAACGCACGAACCTCTATGACCGGCATGGCTGCGATTGAGCGGCAAAGAGAGAGGGAACGAGAGAGAGAGCGGTGAGGTCTGCGGTGCGTTATGGGCGTTGTGAACTATCGTGTTGAAGAGGCGGGGTTCTGGGCTCTGGGCTCTCGGTTCCGGATTCTTTGGGGCGTTTGCCGTGAGCTGGAGGAGTGAAGGCTCGCCAGAAGATGGAGGAGGACCTTAAGGGCGGCTACTGTGCTGTAATTCTGTGCTCTGCTCCCGCGGAGTACCGTGCAAGGTGCTTTCGTCGGCGGAGGGCGGTGCCAGACGTCGCTCCCAGCTAGCCTCGAGCTCCCAGCGAGCAAACTACTTGTGGCCCGGGCGTGTGGGCTTGTGGAGGTGCAACCGACGTAATGGCCTGCACGCCTGCGCAGCTGCGAGTTCCCTGCTTTTCGGCGGGGCCATTCGGGCTGCGGCCAGCGTCGATGGGGCCAGCGCCGAGTCGCACCCGCACGCATGCAGGATTCGGCCGGCGGATGACGACAAGACCCCGTTCTGGCTGACGGGGGGGCCTGGCTGCTAGGTCTGGGTACGAGAACAGCTGCTAGGGGCCTGGCACGAGCACGCAGAGGCGACGGGGAAATCTGGAGACAGGCTTGTTGCGCCAAAGCTGGCCAGTCATGCTCTGTTTCTCGACTTTCAACCATGTTTAATGCTAGAGTGCGTCTGCCGGGGAGGAAGGGGTCTCGTTAACTTGAGGGCTAAGCTTGTGGCGATGCCAGGACTGGCGGATGTATTGCAATGGCGGTGAAATTACTGCAGCAGAAACGTGCTCTAGCCAGAGAGAATAGTTTGGCAAAGTCCCCGAGCGAATGTTAGCTAT